GGGTAGCTTGCCAGGCTTTGCCGTGCGGGCGAGATACTCTTGGTAGCTTGTCGGGCACTCCGAGAGGGGTGGAGGAATCAAACTCGGGTTGGCAATGTTGGCTGCGTGCAAGGCAAATGCCCTACCTTAACCTAAATCCATAAGGTACATGGGGGAAAACTTAGGCAGAATCCTCCATTACATTGAAGCTAAAGGCTTCTTCAAAGACAAAACACCATTACATTAAACTAAGAAGCTCCTGCACCTCAAAAGAAACGGTGAACAAGATGCAAAGAAAGACCATGAAATGGAAAAATTTTTCACCCAATGCCCTATGATCATAAAAGATATATGACACTGTAGAACTTTGCAAGAAAAAATCCTCCAGCCCCATCAAAATTGGGGAGAAGAAATGAACAGAAACTTTCTTAAGAAATAAATGCAGGGGGCTGGAGAGATAGCAAGTGGGTAGGGCGTTTGCCTTGCATGCAGCCAATCCGAGTTTGATTCCCAGCATCCCGTATGGTCCCCCGAGCACCGCCAGGAGTAACTCCTGAATGCAGAGCCAGGAGTAAGCCCTGTGCATCGCCAGGTGTGACCCAAAAAGCAAAAAAAAAAAAAAAAAAAAAAAAAAGAAAAGAAAAAAGAAAAAAAAAGAAATGCAAATGTCCCAAAGGCACATGAAAAATGTTCTATATCGCTAATTATCAGGGAAATGCAAATAAAAACAATGAGATACCATTTCACACCACAGACACTGGCACACATCAAAAAGAACAAGAGAAACCAGTGCTGGCGTGGATGCAGGGAGAAGGACATGCTCATTCATCATTGGTGGGAATGCCAACTGGTCCACCTCTTTTGGAAAACAATGTGGGCATTCCTCAAAATACTAGAAATTGAGCTTCTATACTAAGCAGTAATACCACTTCTGGGAATTTAACCTATGACCCAAATCACACAGCTAAAAAGCCATCTTTTTTTTTTTAATTTCATTGAATCACTGTGAGATAGTTACAAGCTTTCATGTTTGGGTTACAATCACACAATGATCAAACACCCTTCTCTCCACCAGTGCACATTCCCCACCACCAATATCCCCTGTATACCCCCCCTTTCCCACCCTCCCCCTGCATCCATGGCAGAAAATATTCCCCATACACACACTCTCTCTCTCTCTCTACTTTTGGGCATTATGGTTTGCAACACAGACCCTGAGAGGTTATCATGTTTGGTCCTTTATCTACTTTCTGCACACATCTCCCATTCCGACCAGTTCCTCCAGCCATCATTTTCTTAGAGATATGTTCTCTATTCCAGCTGCCTTCTCCCCTTTGCTCATGAGGCAGGCTTCTAGCTATGGAGCAATCCTTCTGTCCTGTGTATCTACTATCCTTAGGTGTCAGACTCATGCTATGTTGTTTTATACTCCACAAATGACTGCAGTCATTCTGTGTCTGTCCCTGTCTTTCTGACTCATTTCACTTAGCATGATACTCTCCATGTCTATCCATTTATAAGCAAAGTTCATGACTACATCTCTCCTGACAGCTGCATCGTATAGATGTACAAGAGTTCCTTTAACCAGTCATCTGTTTTAGGGCACTTGGGTTGTTTCTAGATTTTGGCTATTGTGAACATTGCTGCAATGAACATATAGTTACAGATGTCATTTCTACTGTGTTTTTTTCATCCTTGGGATATATTCCCAGAAGTGGTATTGCGGTATATGCAAGCTCAATTTCTAGTTTTTGAAGGACTGTCCATATTGTTTTCCAGAAATGCTGGACTAGTGGGAAATCCCACCAACAGTGAAAAAGTGTCCCTTTTTCCCCACATCCACGCCATCAGTGGTTGCTTTTGCTTTTTTGAATGTGTGCCAGTCTCTGTGGTGTGAGATGATATCTCATTGTTGTTTTTATTTGCATTTCCCTGATGGATAGCGATGTGGAGCAACATAAACAAATGGGGATACATCAAACTAAGAAGCTTCTGCACTTCAAAAGAAACAGTGACCAAAATACAGAAAAAGCCTACAGAATGGGAAAGTATATTTACCTAATACCCATCTGATAAGGGATTAATATCCAGGATATACAAGAAACTAGTAGAATTGTACAAGGAAAAAAACCTCCAACCCCATAAAAATGGGGAGAGGAAATGAACAGAAGTTTCCTCAGAAAAGAAATACAAATGGCCAAAAGGCACAGAAAAGCCATGTGAACTCCTATGTTTATTTCAGTACTATTCATATTAGCCAGAATATGGAAACAAGTAGAGTGCTAGAGAATAGAGGACAGATACAGAAACTATGGACATCTACACTGTGGGTACATCTACACTAGGGTACATCTAAACAGCCACCAGGAAAAATGGAGTAATGAAAATTGCTTATACATGGATGGACATGGAGAGTATCATGCTGATTGAAATGAGTCAGAAGGAGGGGCTGGAGCAATAGCACAGCAGGTAGGGCATTTGCCTTGCACATGACCGACCTGGGTTCAATTCCCAGCATCCCATATGGTCCCCTCAGCACTGCCAGGAGTAATTCCTGAGTGCAGAGCCAGGAGCAACCCCTGTGAAACCCCAGGTGTGACCCAAAAAGAAAAGAAAGAAATGAGTCAGAAGGAGAGGGACAGAAATAAAATTAATATACTCATTCATAGAATATTAAAAACAAAACATAGTCAGTTTTGAATACCCAAGACAGTAGAAACAAGGTCAGGAGGACAGTTCCACCGCTGGAATCTTGATACAAATGATGGTGGGGAGGGAAGTTAGGATAAATATTGCACAACTATGACAATAATAGTTGGAAATGATCCCTATAGACAAGAACCGAGAATTGAAAGTAGCTAAAGGAACAAAAATGTTAACCCTTCAGTAGCTTTATTGTACAGAATAATGTCCAAAAGGAAAAAGAAATGGAGAGAGAGAGTGAGAGAAAGAGAAATAAGAAAAGTGCCTGCCATAGAAGAGGAGCGAATTGGATGGGGTGACAGGAGGGAAAATGGGGACATTGTTGATGGGAAATGTAAACTGATGACAGACTGAGTTTGAACATTGCATGAATGAAACCCAATCATGAACAACTTTGTAACTGTGTATCTCATGGTGATTCAGTGCAATTAATTTAAATAAAAATAAGAGTAGTGTTAATGCTAGTCCAGTTGCGTCTTTCTGGAAGGTGCTAGAATTTTTTAGGCCAAGGATTCAGTTAAAGGACATTACCTAGTCCAGCAACTTTGATTGCCCAAGTACTCATCAAAGGATAGTAGCTGCATTGACTCATGAACATTATTGAAGTTGGAAAACAGAAGAACAAGAAATAGGACAGCTAATTCATGAGTTCAAGGTCAGCTAGTTTTTAATGTTTTGTTTTGGTTTTGGTTCACGCCAGTGATGCTTAAGGCTTTCTCCTGGATGTGCATTCAGAAATTACTCCTGGCAGAGCACAGGCACAGGAGACCATATGGGATGCCAGAGATCGATCCCATGTTGGCCATGTTTAAGGCAAACACTTTACCCTCTGTACTATCTCTTCAGTCTCACTGAGTGCAAGGTCAGCTCTTATGTACTAACTATTGCAAACTCATTTTTGTTGTAGGGATTCTCCTTCCTTTCTCATGCTTTAATAATGTCACAGTGGACCTTGGACACCCAGAATTCCAATCCACTATTAGTTGTGAAAGGGAAACAAATGCAAAGGGAATGGGGCTTACCCAAGGCTACACTGTGATTACAGAGTGAATTTGTGTCAAAGCTATGACTGGAAGTCAAATGTCCTGGCCACCTATCCCAAGTATCCTTTTTATATATCCTTTGAGGCAGTTCCTCAAGTTGGGCTCATAATTTCTGAGGCATGTTGTGCTTTTCTTCCCATAAGATAAACCATGTCCCCATATAATTGCAGCACATAAGAGAAAAACGAGCTATATACTGTCACTCTCCATCTAAAGCGCAGACTTAACCAGGTAAATGCTATAGTCTACAACACTGATGCCCTCAGATTCTGTGATCTTGAGGAAAAGTAAAGGCCCTCCCGTTGATCGTCGATTTGCTCGAGCGGGCCCAGTAACGTCTCCATTGGAGACTTTGTTGTTACTGTGTCTGGCATATCAACTACTCTCGGTAGCTTGCCGGGCTCTCCGAGAGGGGCGGAGGAATCGAACTCGGGTCGGCAATGTTGGCTGCGTGCAAGGCAGACGCCCTACCCGCTGTGCTATGTAGAAGGGAAGCTTGAAGAAACACTCCAAGGGACTGGACTTTGGGTGCACCTAACCTACCAGATAACTTATCACATTAATAATATAAATCAGTAATTATATTGAATTAGAGGGCTAAAGGATCAGGGCATTGATTTGAAGAAGATAGTGAAGGAAGAAAAGTGATTAGAGGAAAGATGGTAGGAGGAGTCCAATTTTGATGAAAGTGGGAATTTGGTACAAATGGGAAGGAAATGTGGTTAGAAAGGGGAATTGATTACTACAGAAGGTGGCCTATATTGTTGGAAAAACAGACATTTTAGCCAAGAAAAGTTTCATGGAGACACGGAGGAATGTTAAGGCCTCTGAGGAGTTGTTAGGGATATTAGGTTTGAGCGGTCCCAGGAACGCTGCTGAGTTCTCAGGGAGAAAGCCACAGGGAAAATGAGTACAAATACACACAGGAAAAAGGTATGAAGAGTCAGAGCTCTCTTGAGAGGCAGTTTTGATAAGCACTAAATTCCTGATAACCATCAGGGCCACTGTTGGCATGGCCAGGGTGCGGCCCTAGGTTAGGTACTGTTTCAGTGGAGCTAGACTGCCGGGCTGCATAAGGCATAAGGATCAGAGTGACTCTGGATAAGTAGTAAGAGCTTTTGTGCCCAGGATCAACGGAGCCAGGGCTGGGTGTTGCTGGATTGGGTTAGGCTGGGCGGGGCAAAGTCCCGCCAGCAAGTAGGCGGGTACGAGGGCGGGGAGCTACGCGGAAGCCGGCTCTCTTAAAGCAGCAGACTGCGCGCCGAGGGAGGCTCTTTCCTGGGTGGGGTTTGTGAAGTCGTGGCCCGTTAGCAGGAAGCCGAGCCATCGCCCAGATTCTAGCAAGAGACTGGACCCAAGCCGTCAGACTCAAGAGTCTAAACATAGTGTGTGCTGCGTGATCAGCCTTACCCTACAGCTTCCAGCCAAACTTTTCCAACTCCGCCGCTTTTGTCGCCACTATGCCCAAGACGGTGAGTGCCTGGGTTGGGCGCTGCGTACCCCGGGAGCTCTAGCTGTTCTTTGTAGCCCCATGCCAATGGCCTGTAAATTGATCGGCCACCCGTCAACCCGCCCGCGACGCGCACTCCAGGAAGGCCTAGGGTGGGGAAAGGCAGCGGGGTGGTCTTGCGCTAGAGAGCTCTGCGGGGTGATGGGCTCCAGGGCTAGAACTGTGCACCAGGTAGGCACGACCTCTTTCTCAGATTACAGTCCTCTGGGATGAATTAATAGGGGTGTTAAAGATTTACTTGATGGCCCAAGTTCTTCTCTTGCCTCTGACGGGCCATGGTCTCAGAAAAGACTCTAAGGAGAACACTTCCCTCTAATTCAAGGAACTGGTGCCTTTCTGGTGGACAAAGCTTAAAACAGAAAAACAAGAATCGAGGAGGGAGCTTCTCAGGACAGATTCCTCAGCCCTATTTAACATTTTTACAGTGTTCCCAGGTGACTTCAGTTGTTTCCCACTATGGGCAGGGGGAGACAGTTGTGGAGGGACTCCCAGAGGATGCTTGATTTACCCAGGAGTGCCAGCATTTCACCAGACAGGGGTTTAAGGAGAGGTGTATCTCACCTCTAAGAGGAGAAGGGTTTATTCTTTCTCTCCACTCACCAAATCCTTGCCCTTCCCATTACTTAATGACTCTATCTCCTCATCACCTCTGGACTGTTAGGTGGATTCCCCTCCCTTTGGGCCACACTTTTCTACTGTGGTGATAGCTATTGGGATCTTCACTCCCAGCTATGAGAAGAGCAGAAACCTCCTGGGAGTGGGGCCTAGTGGGGCCGGATGCCTAGGAAGGAGGGACAAGGGAGGGTGTTCCTGAATAATGAGCTTTGCTTGCTTTCCTGCAAGTCATGCCAAATGGCTGCAGTTGCCTTTGACTCCCTCAGGAAGGCATAGTGACCACCCTGGCTTGAATCCCTTTGGCAGTTTGTTGGGCTAGCCTATGCTCTGGATGCCTTCTCTATAGCTTTGTAGCTCTGAGATAGTGACTTTCTGCCTTAAGAAGGGCAGAGGGTCACTAGTATGAGAGGAATACTGGTGGGTCTAGTTCTTTGGCTATGTTTTTAACTTGGTTTGCCACAATGCTGTATTACAAGCTGACTGCCAAGTTATTCTTGCCTTTCCAGAACTTGGCCTTTCAGAAGCACCAAGTTTTTAGCAAGTATGTGTTTCTACCACTTCTCTCAAACTGTTAGTAGTTTTACGGCATGGGGCTTTCCCACATATTCTCTGTCTCTCCCCTCCTCCTCGCTTTCGCTTTCCCCCAAATAAGGATGAAAGTGTTTGAAAAGAAAGGGGAAAAGACTCTCTTTCTTGCTAACTTAGAGGGATATAGTTTCCTCCATGTGGTTTTATATCTCTTTGACTGACTCCTGAATTATAAAGTTGTAACTTTTTTTTCTGAATAGGTAAGCATAACTCTCCATTATAGACTTGTGCCCAGTCCTCTCTTCTCCACTGGCATATTTCATTCGAATTCTGAGATCTCTTACCTTTAAGCACTTGATGGTCTGGGAATTATCTCAAACTTGCTTTATAATCCCACCTCAGTCAAAGATGTCAAGGAAGACATCAAGGTGACCCTTTTGGAATGCCCTGACACAAAGGCTAGGCAGGGTGGGGGGATGGTGTGGTGGGTGGGCGGGCTACTGGGAACATTGGTGGTGGAGAATCGGCACTGGTGGAGGGATTGGTACTCGATCATTGTATAACTGAAACCCAAGCACGAAAGTTTGTAAGTCTACAACTGCACCTCATGGTGTTTCACTAATAAAAAAAAGGTGACCCTTTTTTGAGTATGGAGAGATACTAGAATGTAAGCATAAGGTAAGGCCTCGATGCAGAATACTGAAGGTAGTTTATGTATATTGAAGTGAAAATCAGGAGGGGTCTGAATTTTGATAGGGTGAAAGCTAGAGAGTTAATTGTTTAGTGCTCTTTGTTCTAAGGATTGGTCAGCTATGTCACATATTAACATATGTTAACATCATATGTTAACATTAACATCATAGACTCACCTCTAACCTGAAAGTATCTCAGATGCAAGCTATCTAAAATAGTAACTCTATGTTTTTAAACCCTATCTTAATGTCGAGAAGCCTTGCAAGACCCCTTTTCCAGCCTTATTTCCTTCCTGTGTCCCCTTGTCTTACTAAGTTCCACAGTTTTGTGCTGTAAGGTTCTATTTACATATCTTAACCTGTGACTCCCTTGAATATCCTGGAGGCTCACAGAGGTATAAGATCCTTGAGAAACTTGCACTCACTTTCTCTGTCATGTTTCCTCTTATGAAAATATTTAGGCCTACAGAAAGGACCTACATGAGGGGACACAGTGAGCGAACCAAGGTTGGAGTTCAGGTTTTTAGATGTTTCTACTACATAGTGGTTCTTGAAAAAATTTTCCCTGTCAGTATTCTGACTCAGAATGCTCACATATTCTGATATAGTGGTTCAAGAAACAAATTGTTTCAAGCACTCTGGGGTTTCCTGATCCTTTTATCGAAGAAAGTGCTTAATTTGGGCAAAGTAATGGATGTTGTCATTTGTGTGGTTTCCTGATTTGAGTTGATGGTTATTCTGGTTGTTTTCTGATTCTACATCCGATAGATGAGACATCTAGGGGTCATATCTTAAATCATCATCCTTAATAAGGAAGAAATTTCCCCCACTTTCTGCTCCTCCTTCATTATGTGTGTTAGGCTACTTTTGAAGTGTGAAAATAGGGGAACTTAATAGAAAATTCAAATATTTTTCTTCATATAAACTCTACAACCTCTTTCAGAGTTGGTTTCAGTTTTATAGACAATAGTCTTAGACAACCCAGGCTCCCTTAATTCTGTAAATATATGCAACACTTCCTACAGTTCTTGGATTCTACTTCTATTTGCCAGTTTCTGGGTTCTGTTTTAGTAGCCAGAATGGAGAAGATTATGATTGCCATCTATACTTTCTGGTGATAAGACAGTTATAAAACTTTAAAATGTTTACATCACAGTTGAGTAAGACTCAGTTGAGACTCAGTTGGGTTCTCTAGAAATAGGTTGTCTAATATTCTAAGGGTATTTTTGAATTTTTGGTTTGTTGGCAAATGTTATTGGTTTGTTAAAAAGTTGTCAGCAAGAATGGGCACTGGTGGAGGTATGGCTACTCAATCATTGTATAACTGAAACCCAAGCACAAAAAATTTTAAGTCTACAACTGTACCTCATGGTGTTTCAGTAATAAAATTTTTTTAAAAAGTTGTCAGCAAGTCAAATCTTGCTATTTATTTATTTATTTATGGTTTTTGAGCCACATCTGTCTATGCTCAGGAAGCTCTAAACTCAGGAATCACTCTTGGTGAAGCTTGGGTGACCAGATGAGTGCCCAGGATGAAACCTGGGTCAGCTGAATGCAATGCAAGGACCCAATTTGCTGTCTCTTTAGCACAGAAATCCTGTTATAGAATATGTGGGGAAGCTTAGACTAACAGATAGAGAGGAAGTGACCTAGAATTATGGATTATGTTAGTAGTAGAGGTAGAACTTGAATCTAGGTCTTCACTAGAGGTTCAGTTTAGGAAAACTGTCTCCAATTTGGTTATATTTTTGTTCAACATATCAAGGTAATGTCAAGAAAGTGGCCATTAGTGTAGAACCCATTTCCTTGAAGTATTTGAATGTTTCTGAATTTACTTTCAGCTAAATTTTAACTGGGGTTTTGTGGATTGTTTATTCTCCTGCCATTCCTAGCATTGCTTGCACCACTCAAGTGTCACTAAAGTGGTACTTGGTGACTGAGGCAAAATCTGAGTTTTAACACTTGAACCAGCCCTGATTACAGATAGGTGTGCAAGGAAACAGGAATGGAGATTATGTGAAAAGGGGGTTTACATTCTTCCACTTTTTTGTTTGTTTCTGCATTTCACTTGGTTCTTTGTAAAACTGTAGGCAATACAGAACCATTTTGGTTTTTTTCCTTTAGGCAACACCTTGAAATTCCTCTGGGCATAGATAGGCTGGTAGAACTAGAGCTCCATTACCAGACCCTTGAAAGCATCAACTAATTTGTATTCTCATTTAAGTTAGAGAGAAGAAGGTTACTCTTTTAGTGGGTAACTGATGTGGTATTGATTGCTAGTTTGACATCTCTAGCTTCCTGTAACAGTATCTCTTATGTTTAGAAATGCTGAAAATTGCTGTAATTGCAGGTTAATAACACTTAGATTTAGTATTTTTGGGTAGGGTGAGTGTCCAAGAAGTGCTGGGCCACTACTGGTGATACTTAATTAACTGGGGGTTAGACAGTTGAATGTTTGGGTTTTTTGGTAAAAGAGGTCAAAAAAACCACATCTGCAAGTATTTGGGAGATGTCTGGGGCTACACCAAATGGTGCTTGGAGGGCTACATGGTTCCAGGGATTTAATTTATGTCCTTGCACATGCAGGACATACAGCCTCTACCACTAAACTACTTACCAACCCTAAGGGAATAGTCTCCTTTTGATCTTTCAAAGAGAACTGAATTTTTTCACATTTGTATGTTCCAATTCACAATCATTTCTGCTTATAAAAACTTATCCATGTTTTCTCTTCCCAAAGAAAATAAAAGCAGTACAAAGCTGGGGCAGTCTATTTATCAAGTGAACAAGTTAGTCATGTCATGATTGACTAAATTTGCTTTTCATCCTGCTTTCCATTTCATGCTTGAAAGCACTGAAAAGCTTTTCAAGTCCGGCCTCTGATTTGTGGTATGAAATAGTCACTTAGTGGGTTAGGTTTTAGACTCCATTGATTAGGAAGGTTGATGTTGGTATGGCAAGTACATTGGTTTGTGGATTTTTCTTCTATTTCCATATAAAAAGCAAACATTCTAGAAAATTTGTCTTCAGTAAAGTGATCCAAATGATGTGACCCTTTGGTTAAGTCCTTCTTCAGTTTCATAGTCTTCCCAGGTTGTTATGGGGCAATTCTATTAATAGTTACATT